TGGTTTGAGAATTCAGGGCACCCTTTTTTGAAGGAAAACACATGATGGCTAAGTGGACTCACATTTAACCTTGTCTCTGCATTTTAGAACCTTGACTATCTGACTAGTTTTCTCGGTGCAATCAAGTTGTCAAGTATGCAGCCTTTATTATTAGAAATTTTCAAATATAAATGTGATTAGTTTATCCAAATCTCTGTAGATTCTGTGTTCACTGAGACAGAATATTAGTTTGATCTTTTTGTTTCTTTGTCTGAGACTGACCCCTCTTTTAAGAAAGCAAATTCTATTACTGTCGAGAGAGGAAGAGAGAGAGAGATGAAGAGAGAGAAATTATTCAAATTTATAAAGTGTTAACAAGGATAAATGAAATGACAAAACTGAATGACGTAACAATTGTAACCTTTTACAATCGTATATGATGGATAGACTGGGTCTCCTTCCATCCTTAGCAATGTTTGCCTGTAGACCTAGACTCGATGGTTCTGTATCTCGGACAGCAGTATCTTCTGAGGTGAGTGTCTGATTCCTCACCAACTTACCAGAAATGTGACAACTTTCGCAAGTAGAACATGAGACACACTGTAGCCGGGTGTCAGATTGAATCAGTATGTTTCGTAACTTTCATTAGAACAGTCTACAAATGAATTACAATCGGGCTGTCACAATCCCAAATTCTTATCATGTGCTTTGGCACTTACGCCATGGAAGCAGATTTTGAGCACAAGACTCCCTTCAAATGGTCAGCCCTCCCTTTTCCTCAGTGCCTGAAAATAAAGTTAAACCTGCAGTGACCTTTTGATATTCTGATCCACAGAAATGACAGCCACGTAAACGTGTGAAAAGTAGCCTGTAAAACAGGCTGGTGGCATCCTTGTGGCATCGCTCCTTGTCCCCCGCTCACGTCCCAAACAAGCAGGAGTAGGCTGGAATACGAGGGTAGGCCCCGCGGTCTCTATCCTTGGCTGTGGCGGCGGCAGCTGCTGGCATCTCTTTTGCTCCAGTTGTGAGGATTTGGGTTTCTTTGCCCCTCAGTGTTGTAACTAACCTTTCTAGTGGCTGTCGTCAATTTGGTCCCACAGAGCTAGGGCTTGGGAAAGCATATGCTTAGGGCAGGGCTTCTTTACCAGCAAAACGATCTTATTGTTCGGTGGTAAGGAAATTTTAAGAGCTATTTTTGGGTTTGGGAGTCCAAAGAGTAACTCAAGTTGAGCATGTCAAGGGACAGCTGAGTTCCTCTAGGACAAGACACGGCAACCTGACCCCCCTCACCACCACCCCTCAGAGGAAAACATGTGTTGCTCATCAACAGGAGGCCCATGGCTTAGTTTCTGGCCTCTCAGCCGATTGCCATCCACTGGATTCTGCCTGTGACAACCCCGTCTGTACCCCGTGGAACTGGGCTCCACAGGGGGATTTGGTGACTGGTTCTGCATTAGACCACCAGGTTATTCTTCCCGGACGCCACCTCTGAGTGGATTTGAACCTCCAAGCTAGCAGCTGGGTGCATTAACCATTGGCACCACTGAATCCACCACAAGTGGATTCAGAGGGGTGTAAGGAAGTGGTGCTGGCGGCTGGCCTCCGAAGTGGGAGGCAACAGAGAAAGCCCCAGGAACATGACCCAAGCAGATGAGAGCGATTGTGGTGCCCGGACGGTAGTCAGCCTGGGGGCCGCCCAGCACAGCGACCATGAACTGTGCAGTCGCTGTGTCCTTCCGCTGGCTCACGTCCCCCCCACATCCTACTCCATCCCCGCCTGTGACGCCACGATGCACCGATGTTCACAATTACAAGCCAAGAACAGATTCATGGTACCTCCACGGGGAAAACCCAAAACCACATGTACCTTTTCCATCAGTTGTCACTGGCTAAGCACTCATCCTGGAAGTGATCACAGAGTTTCTGAATGAGTGCAGCCAAAGATAGTCCTGTACACTCTTAGAAGAAGAGACAGACAAAGGTCACAATGCAGATTTCTGTTTGTCAGAACCTTTTGTAAACGCCTCTCAGGTGGCCGGACTTTCCCTGTGCCCCGTCAAACCTCCTTAGAGAGAGGCAGCTGCTTGCTCCTTTAGCGCAGCCTCAGTTCATTTTCGGAGAGGCGGGGTAGCCAAGAGAGCAATGACAAGCCTAGAAAGAATTGGATTCTGCAGCGAAACGATTTCCTCCTTTTTGGCAGCACATAATGTACATAGAGCTGTGTCATCTTCTTCATAGAACACTGGTCTGTCCTTGAATAAGAACTCGGACAGAAATCGTCATTCATGTGAGAGTGAAATATTTTACACACACACACACACACACACACATCAGTGTCAAACAAATCATTACAACAAAGGAAATACAAAATTCCTTACAAACTCAATACAAATTGAATGCCATTCAAAGGCATTCACGGCAGCAACCTATAGGCAGTTCTGCTACAGTGTGCTAAGTGTGTCCGGGCTACACTTCCCATCCTGCACAATCACACCCCAAATCTGGCAGGGTTTGTGCAGCAGATAGATGGCAGACCATGCCAATTCTTTATAACTTCACAGTCACCGCAGTCACAGAAACCATGTTTGGTCCCTGGGAAGGGAAGGTGGCTTCGCCAGCCTTGCAGCTGGAGGGGACCCACAGCAGGCATGAAACATCCTTGGTTGGGCTGGAGGTCCTCTGCGTGGTGGCCACCCTGCCCAGCAAGCAGGTCTGGTGGCAGCGGAGCATCGCTGGTAGAGGTGAAACTGGGGTGATGCTGTGAGGCAGTCCCGTGCCTCAGGTGATACAGGTTGGGCTGCCCTTTTCTGGGGAAGGATCGTGTGTGCAAATGTTCCTATTTATTTTTCTTATGCTAAAACCAGAAAAGTTGCTGCAGCCAAGTTGGATTTTTTTCTTCTTTTTTTGCGGAAGGTCATTCTTCTACACATATCTGAGTCTTTGCCCCCACCTGGGAAATATGTGTCAATTATACTGACATCGGTCCTCTACCGATAGCGTGTGAGCTAATTTGTGTTGCATGGTGGAGTTCCTGGGTGATGCGATGGCCTACATGGTTGCTGCAAAAACAAGTGGGCAGTTTGCATTCTACCCAAAGGCCCCTCAGAACAAGATGACCTACATCTGTACAATCAGCCATTTAAAGCCCCTGGGTCCCTGGGTCACGGTGAGTCAGTCAATGGACGTTTTGCTTTGTGGGGACACGTAGCTGCGCGTCCACCCTGACCTTCAATCACACTGTCAGGGAGTCAATTCTGAGTCATCGTGACCCTGTCGATTTTGACTGTTCTGTGAACCAGAACACACCAATGATGGAAATAACTTTTCCTGACCGTAAATGCAGTTCACTCTGTAAAGAATTTGGACGTTGTACAAAGGTAAGTGGCCCGTATTGAACACCAGCTGTCAAAATCTGCTCGCTCAGTGGGCGTGTGTTTGGTTCGTGTGTCCTATGAGAGAACTACTGTCGAAAACCCAAATATTGGATATTTCATCTTTGGTTATAAAATTGGACCATCCTACAGAGATAAAATTGTTTATGTTTTGCATATTATGAAACTTTAAAAATGTAAACCACAATTTATTTAGCAAAAACTTCTGCTTCAGGGTAAAGGGGTTGTTTCAAATTATAGCAATTAGCATATGCAAGTGATTATTTGCATCTTTGATTAATTTCTTAGAGTAAATTGTAAGAAGGAAAAAATGACCAGTCAATAGATATTGATACTCCCTTTAAATGTCATCTAGTGATAGTAAACAAACTCTTACTATTTGTGGGTTTAACCATAAAGACCTTACCACCAGAAGATAAAGAGTTAACAGCAAGCCCGGTAGTGTTATTAAATTGGAAGCGTGTTAACAAATGTCTTCCATTTATGTTTGTAAATATCTGTGTGGTAAGTATCTAACACTTAGTGCTTCCTCCTTTATTAACGTGTCTGGGATATGGAATGCCAGGTTTACGTATACAGGAAAACCAAGCATCAAACTGGGTCAGCCGTCTCTTGTACCTACAGAACTACTCCAGTGTTCCTGTGTGTACGCCCTGCTGTGCTCCTCACCTGCACCTGCCCCCTCTGTGGGTGCCTCCCTGTGGCCTCACAGGAAAGGCTCAACAGGACCCAGTGTTGACACTGAACCTCCCTTAGTTCAAGCCACAGAACATGGGGATGGCAGATGTCGTTAGGCCAGAAATCATCACCTTCTCGTTTGACCTCCCTTTTGACCCATTTTAAATTTGTTCTCATTTTTCTATTTTCTCTTTGATTGAGGTTTTTGTGTGTTTTATCCCTGTTTTACTTTGTTATTGCTGTTGAGTTTTGTTTCATTTTGTATGTTTTTCTGTGTGTGAAATCCAGGACAGGTACGTCTACAGACACAGTCACTGGATTAGTGGCTTCCTGGGGTCTGGTAGAAGAGGTGGGAGGAAATGGAAAGCTGACCAGCAATGAGGACAAGAAGGAATGCGCCGCTCTAACATTGATGGTGGTGATGACTGCACCACTCTTCTTGGTGTGACTGAACGACTGACTTGTATGCTGTGTGGACGATGTGCCCGTAAAGCTGTTACACAACAGCCACACAAGGCTGCCAGGGTGGAGAGAAGCAGGGAGCACAGAGCCCTGGCTTAGGTCAAGACAGAGGATTTGATTTTCCCCATCACATTTTCTTAGCAAACTGACCATTTCATCAACAAGCGTCAGTGAGAGTTTTCTAGACTACTATGTGTTCTGGAAAAAGCACTGCTGTCACATGTCTAGCTAGTTATGAGGACACAGCGCATGTAAAAAATCTATATTATGTATTTATATTTTTGTATATGCATGTGCATATATGTATGTATATGCTATATGTATATAACACACACGGGCATGAACGAAAGATCTTTCCAGTAACTGTTAAATCTGTGTCACAGTAAGCTTTGTTGGAGACCAAAACTAATGCAGACCTATGAGCACTGACTCAATAGCTGACTTTCTCTCTCTCTCTCTCTCTCTCTCTCTCTCTCTCTCTCTCTCCAGCCATCCTCTGTCCCAAGGAAGCCAATCCCAATAACAATCATCAAGCAAGGTAACGTCTATGTGTCTGTCTGTTCTGGACATGGGTCTCGAGCCTTTTAAACTAAACTTTTCAACAAAGTGGTTAGGCATAGCACACTTTGCTATTTTTTGGAAGAAAAACAAAAACCAGAAAGATCAAGTAAATTAGAAGTTAGATCATTCTGAAGCTTGTAACAACATGCCAAGTATTGGACAAGCCACACTGGCTGGCCACCTAGCTGGCCACTGGCTGATCTAGACACCCATCTCAAATACTGTTTTTGGAAGCCATGTATGTCTGGCTTTGCTCAGTATGAATTAATATTCATAAGGAAAACCTTTAAGAGGACATTTAAATGGATGTAAAGAAAAGCTGTGATTTTAGTGGTCACTTGAGGGGGAAACATCCAGATTTCATGGATCACGGTGTTTTATTTCATTTTAGTATACAGTTGTCTTTGTTTTGACTTCCAGTTATTTTAATTATTAAAATGAGTCCATGATTATTATTTTTTTAATCCTTTGTGGAAGAGACTGAGTACTTAAAATAGTCCTTTAAAAAAAGAACCACAACATCTCAACTATAGTGTCAAAGCCAGGTGCGGGGTTAGTATATGAATTATCCAAAGATTCTTTGATGTGAATCTATGTCTTTCCTATTTTATAAATGACTGGGCCCTGACTTCATTTCGGGTGAGTTCTTATCGACTAGGCAGGACTTCCTAAGCCTTTTCCAGACTTGAGACACTTTGTGCCCAAGGAATCTGCAATGCGGGCAAGCGCTGCCAGAGACGTCTTAGATTCATTACAGGTTTGATGTAGAATTGATTTGGGGCGTTGCTAGATCAGAAAATGTTTACTGTTGTCCCCCACATTCAGTCATGTGACCATATGGGTTTGAGACCCACAGTTTTAGAAGCTGTGGACCAGGCGATAGGGCAGGCTACAGGAGGTAGAGATAGGAAGGACACTGTAATTAGAAAGGAACACATTTATAACAGAATAGCCTCTCATTATTTAAATCATGGTTGTTAAGGTACGAAGTACCTTCCAGTCCTTGGCTGACTCTTTAGCTGGCTCTGTAAACTGATTTCCATTCATTGATAAGGTAGATCAAGTCGAAATGAGAAAGCTGGATTAATGCAAATGGTTTCTCATTATCTGACATTATTTCTGACATTATTGTCTTTGTGTGTTTCAACAGTGATTCAGAATGTTACTCACAGGGCTTCGATCAAATCCCCAGATAGAACGCCCTTCGGAGGAACAATAGTAGGTAAGTACATCACGCAGTCTGTGCCCAAACCTACAAAGTCAGGGGATGTTTTGACACAGGGGCCCTTCTCGACCTTGTACTGTGAAGAGGTCTGTTTAACCCATGGTGGTTCATTGTTTAGCACCCTGGCATGTGGCCATCCCATGCTGGGGGCCGGAGGTGCTCAGTCAGTCAGGGTGTGTCTAGGCCATTCCCACCGCCATTGAGTCAGACTGACTCAGCAAATGGGAAAGAGTAGAACTGCCCCTGTGGGTCAGTGAGACTGACTCTTTACAGGAGTAGAAAGCCTCCTCTTCCTCCCTAGGAACAGCTGGTGGTTTCGAACTGTTAGCTTGTGATTAGTGACAACTCCATCCACAACCAACTGTGTTCCACCCACCAGGGTTCCTCTTGCAGGCCGTGCTCAGGGGCAGTGATGGAGCCCAGTCTACTTGACCCCCAGGATTGTTTATAATGGTTAAAAAAAAAATGAAATGCTCTTTTGAAAAAATATGATTACTAATGGCTGACCACACGTACACCTTAAGTTTTGAGTCTAAGAAGTAGAAACCAGAGAATTGTACAAGTTCCATTGTGATCATGAGAAGAGGGTCTATTTAGAAGGCATTCTTCTATTGTTTTGATACTCTGGGCTTTCTGTTATTACACAGTGTATCTCTTTTTGTGTGTGTGTGTATCTCTTGTCTGATTTGTTTCTGTTTCCTTGCAGTCCATCTTATTGTTCCAGGTCTTAATGAGACCTCCATCAAACTTCCCACATCCATAATGTTTGAGATCACTGATGCGATCAAGACACAACTGAGTAAGCCATGCATCTCTGTATTTGGACTTGGTGGGGAGGGAGTGCAGTCTCTTGAGGACTCAAACAGTTGGGTGCTTGGGTGCTAACCAAAAGGTGGGCGGTTTGAATCCTCCCAAAGGTGCCTCAGCAGAGGCCTGGAGGTCTTCGTCCCCCAAAATCAGCCATCGAACACCCTACAGTCTGCAGCTGTACTCAGACAAACACAAAACAGACTCGGCTGAAACTGCTTTCAGTGCCTGCTGCCGGTGTGCACATTCTGAAGCCAGCCAGGGACCCTGGACAGGTTTGCTTGAGGCGTCTCCAAAAGACAAGCGAGGGAAGGGAAGTTGGAAAAGGAAGTTAAGAAAAAGAGCATCCCCAAACAAAAGAACTTTACAGCTTGTGTTCTCAACTTGTAAAAGAAGAGTACCCATTTATGAAATCATCCCGAATCTACCCTTTCAGATGAGTTTCACTTTCAAATAACCATCCGTCTAAATGACAGGTTTGGTACATGCTCCAAGAGCCACACTGAGAACTGATGCAAAGGTCAGACTTATTAGAATTAGTTTTAATGTCAGATTGATACTGTTTCTTACCTCTAGAAAGAAATAGATATAATTTAACTGTTAAAACCAAGGATAACAATGACAATTAGAACCTTAGAATCCACTTAGAGAGAGAGAACTGTCCTGGGAATAATGGTGGCCACCGCTTATCAGTTTGGCTCTGGCTCGGCTCTGGGTGGTGCCAGCACAATGCTACACATGCAAACTTGTGGGGCCCGGGAGCCTCCCAGGGACATGCTCTCTGTGGCGCGGGTTTGAAAATGCACTCACCCGTTCTTCACCCAGAACTCGTGGTAGGTGCCCCTTGCCCGGGAAGGACACGTTGGGAAGAAAGGAAGAGGTCAGCTGCTCGGAAACTTGCGGACTTGGTCTCCGTTCTTTCTGCCCAAACGACAAAACAAAAACGGAATTTGTAAGCGAGGCTGAAAATCCACGTTTTCTAGTTCTTGCTCCTTAATCATGGGTGGTACTTTGAAATTCCACATCCTACTCTAACTCCCTTTCCGTTTGTTAAAACTTGCTTAATTTAGAGATTTAAAAGGAGCTGGTTCTTGTTAGTGTATTTATGCTTTGGGCTTAAGGAATATAGTGTCAGTGTTTGGTTTTCTTAAGGAATGTCTTTCCCTCGCGCTCCTTTTAGGAATATAGTTCTGCTAAGGAACTGTACTCCTTAAAATTGCACTCCTTAAGAAACAAGATTTCTTAAGGGAAAGTATATTCCTTTATACGCCTTAAAGGAAACTATCTTCCTTAAGGAGTATCATTCTAATGGAAAAAAATCTTGCAAGAAATAGATGTCCTCTTTATATTTCTGAAGAACTTTACATATAGCAAATTTCTTATTCATTAAAGAGGTGGTAGTCAGTATTTAAAGAAAATCCAACCTCTCAAATGTACTAGCTCCATAGAATATATTAAAAAAATAATAACACACACACACACAAAAAATAATAACACATTTTAACTTACTGTGTAAAAAAATGAGAGAATGTGGGGATAAATAGTTTGTTATACTACCAAGGTAAAAATATGCATCCCTGTAATTAAACTTCCCTGAAATTCAATAAATTCATACTTTTTGAGTGGGGAAAACCTAAAAATAATATCTCAATCCCAGCATGGCTCATCACGGGACATCAAGACATGCAATCACTTTTTTTCTAAGAACACGTGATGTGAAGAATGAGCAGAATAAACAGGAACGCTAGTATTACACACACATCTCCCAGGGAGACACAAAGGATTTGCCAAAGGCTTGCTGGGCCTGCCACAAAGGAAAGGGGGAAAATTGTGTTGGAAAAAGATATCAAGGAAAACTAGCGGAAGAGGAATTCCTGGGGCTTCAGGTCACGTTCTGATGGCAATTTACTTTGCCAAGCCGGAGACTGAAGTTGTCCATAGACAGACTTTGGTGGCTGTCCAGGGCTTGCTATGGAGGAAACACAAGAATTCCCCATTTAAATATCTTCTCTCTCTACCAACTTCTCTGAGGCTTGTAAGGCCATAGTTGGGAACAGAGTAGTATGCCTACAGGGAGTCAGCCCCCTAGCTTCTGGGACTCATAACCACCTTGTTGGACAGGGCAGGACGCCTCTAGGGTTTACAAGGCTGTAATCTTTCGGGATGTCTGAGAGCAGCTGGCAGGTTCGAACGTCCACCCTTTTGGTTAGCAGCTGAGAGCTTGCCTACAGTACTACAGGACTCGAATAGGGCGTCAGTGATGCATAAAAAAATACAAACTCCCTTTAAAAAGGTCGTTTGCTGTCTCTCTTTGTTAGCAGCTTACTTTTAGGTTAATATGACTTGTAGCTAACAGCATACTTCGAGTAGAAGGAGCTAAAGCAAAGCCATTCAGAGCATGTCCTGTGAAAGTCTGTAACTACAGGTCAAATCAGAAAAGAGACACCAGTCAGCCAGGAGCCAAGAAGAATGTAGGTTACTAAGTGGGAACAGGAGGATTAGCAAAAGTGTCCTGAAAAAGAAGAGGCCAGTAAAAAGGAAGAGATCATTAAGGAAAAACTATAGTTTCTTATTTTAAACATTCTTATTAGCAATATTAATTATTAAAAATTATTATTTAAAAGTTCTTATTAATAACAAGACCATAGTGCGTGAATAATTTAGATTCTGAATGTTTCTTCCTATGGTAACGATCAGATTGGTTCTAAATAAATGTAGCTACAAAAGAAGCAGGAAAAGAGTGTTATCAGATTCTGATAAAATTTTGACATTTAAAAAACAAAAGTTATTAAATTATACCAGAGTCTCTTTTTTCCTTTAGTTTTTACATAGAGTGCTCCTTTTCTTTATGCCCAAAGTTAACTAAAAAATGATGTTAAAGACATCTGTCATGTAAACCTGAGCGACAACTTCGTGGTGACAGGAATCCAAACACACCTGACTCTTGGTGCCCAGACACTCAACTTGTGACACTTGTTTCTGTGTTTAAATCATTCTGTGTGTTAAATCATTCTGAAAGCAATGTAGGCATCTATGCATGCCTTCGTGGCTTGATGTAGAGTTGAGCTAATTTCTAATTCGTAGCTTCCATCAACAGAGATCAAAAACTGACTGGCTTCTATAAACACGAATGAGATGATTTCATGATTCTCCTTGAAGCCATCAGAAGTAAATAAATATTGTGTGCCCACTTTAAGTGAAAAGAAGAATATGGTTTTTCTTTAACGCTTTGGATTAGACAAGGGAATACATTTTCGTTGATCATACTTATGTGAACCACCCAACGACCCTAGTGAATTTGTGTCCTCAAGATGCTTGAAGAGAATAAGTTGGATCAGCAGTTCTTCACTGTAAACACAATGCCCCCCAGGAGGTGTTTGGTAATAATAGACGGCAGTTTTGGTGGGATTCGGTGCATAGAGGGCACAGAGGCTGTCTAAGCTTCTCCCAGGGTACAGCACAGCCCTGCAGCAGCTGCACAAAGGACCTGGTCCCAAATCAGTAGTGATGCACTTGAGAAAAGCAACACGTTCCGCATAGTCAGAACCACTTGCCATCACATCAGTCTCAGCTGATTGCCACCGTCTTGGGTTTCCAGGGCCGTGAGTCTTCATCGTGGCAGACAGCCTTATCTTTCTCCTGAGGAAAGGCTAGTGGTTTTGAACTGCTGTCCTTGTGGCTAGCGATCCAACACGTCCCCTCAAAGGATTGAAGAAGAAATCCCATCTAATTATATGGGGATTGTATAAGATACTTTGAGCATTTAAACTGGCAAGGTTGGTGTTTTTCATAGACATACATGAATCCTTTCATGTCACGGATTGTTCCAAAATATTATACATGATTCATTAATTCATTAAGTTACAGAATATAGTTCATGCTAAGTTCGTTTGTAAGGTGAGGGATAGCTTCATCGCTGGGGAACTCTGGGATAGAAAAGTAAAACTATACATAGATAGCAACAAAACAAAAAATATCGATTTTTGAACCATTTCCAAAATGGTTGCCCAAATAGGTATAAAATTTGGGGGGCAATGTCTCTATTCTTCACACCCTCACAAGGCTTGAAAGAGAAGATTCGTGTTAGCCTGTGGCTAAAATAAGCTGTATTAACTGTTGGTAATATTTATTTTTTTGTGATGACAAATGTTTTCAACAACTTATTTACTATGTAGAAATTTGTGTTGCTAAATTTCAGTGTTATAACCTACATGTTACATTTTTTTGCCATGGTTAATGGAAATGTTCCATATTTTAATTCATTTTTAATTAGGAATATTGAATATAAAATTCTGGAGAGCACTTGAACTATAGCCTATGCCTTCTAAAACATATTTGGGAATCAGCGTGTCCTGAAACATCTGCCTGTTAGACCCTGATTTAAATCCTGAAGACCCAACTTGAGAAGGTAGTCACACTAGTCCCTAATGAGGTTGTGGACTGCTGGTGAGCCAGAGAGGTTTACTGGGATCATTAGTATTCGATTATTTCTTGAAAAAGCTGTTTGAGGGCATGGGTTAAGTGCATGTGAAGTAAATGATTTTGCTCTCTGTCTTTCAGCTAAGAATGAAACCCTGGCATTACCTGCTGAATCAAAAACACCAGAAGTAGAAAAAGCTCCAGCACAGCCCATAACAGGTTATGAGAGTCCATTGTTGTTGATTTGTGAAAGAATAAGTGGCGTGTTTTCCAAATACTAAGTGATCGGTATTTTTGCAGTGATGAGTCAATAGAAAATCCATTTTGACCTTAAGCACAAAACAGTGAAACCATCTCGGCCGTTAAGGAAAAGAGATGCAAATGGACTATTGGATCGTGCGTGCTGCACGGAAGTTGTGTTTTTACTTTTCAGGGAAAGTGTTGCTACCTCACAGTTCTGAAATGTTTTCTATTAAAATGTGACACCGTGGCTTTTAGCCCTTTTCTTTTCTCAGAAGAAGTGAGACCATGTTTCTTTCCTTTACTTCCACAAGTGGTCGGTTGCTGAGATGTCCCCTGCCCCTCGCAAGTCCATGGCTTGATGCCTATGACAAGACGTTGGGTCATTTAGAAACAAGTGTCTCTGGGAAGTTTACGATCCTCATGGAGAGACTGTCTGAGGGAGTTTCAACAAGCTCCTTGAAAAACTCTGTGATCTTTTCATTCCATTTTTCCATGAACTTTTTGAAGCTTTTTCATTTAACAGTTTGGTACAAAACCAAACCACTTAAGAGAAATGTGGTCAGCATTTCCCCCATCGTTTATCAGCCGTTCCTAACAGACATTCATCATTTTCTTTCTGAGCTTCCCAAGGTCAGCCCACTGAGCAGACATTGTTCTGTGAACGACCAAGTTCTTGCTAAAGCAGAAACACCTCATCCAAATGAATATTTGGCAAGAATTTCCCACCATCAAATTTAGCAAAGTAACTCTAAGTGGATTTTTGGATTTTTTATTGTAAACTTCTCATAACTTGCAATATCACTGCATAGAGATTGGTGGAGGGATAGAATAACTTGATTTCAAAAACCCGTACTTGTTCAAATAAGTATATTTCAGTAAGCGAGATAAGTATGGTCCTCTTTGAAAGAGAGAGATGGGTCTTTCAGCCCCAAGGTCATAGATTCACAACAGAACTAGAAGTGATTTAAGCGGCTAGCCTCGTCCAGTAGTATATAAAGCCCTAGGTCATAGTCTAGTAATTATTACGATTATTATTCTGGTATAATTTTTCAGTGCAACAAAAAGCATAAGCAGGACCCCAGTCCTTTTTTGCCTCAAAGATTGTACCCATTTCCCCAATTACAGTTTCATCTCTTGGCACTATGTTGATGGGAGACTACAAATTCTTTTGTTCTCTGCCAATCCTGCCTCAGAATTTTCCACTTCAGAAACACTGGAGCAAACTTATTACTCCGTGTTATTATGTTTATTTCATGTCCTTACTCTTGAAATTATAAGGCTTTTTAGCTCAGAATATCTTCCAGGTCTCGCTGACCTTGGATTTTATTTTTCCCAAACTGCTCACCTGAAGCCTTCTTTGCTTTAGACCAAATTATCGTAGCCTTTTGTGTCCTGATTGTGATGGCAGCCCACTCTCAATCTTTGCTTGTGGGCTTCATTTTGGAAGAGAGAATTTAAAATTAAATTTAGAATTAAAATAGCTCTAAATAAACTTCATCTGTCCATTTATTAGTCCGTTTAATAAACACTTAACTATGTGCTTCCTATATCCAGATGTTGTGCTAAGCCCTGGATTTAAAGAGAACGAGGCAGACAAATTAGAACATTGTGGTCAAGAAGATAAATGCTTCAATGTGGAGGGCAGTTCTGTGTGCCTTTGAAGCAGATAGAAGGGCGTCCAGCCCAGCGAGGAGGGCAGGGAGGAATGAATGTCCCGCAGCCTCTGGGGCAAGCCAGGAAGTGGGGCGTTCTTCACAGTTTATGCATAGGAAATGGACTAGGTTCTCATCAATTACGAATTCTAAAGGGCGACAGAAAATGACTCCTGGTCTTTGGTTGCTTGATCATTTTTATCTTCATTTGGAAATCGGTTCCTTTTCTGTTTTACTTTTCAGTGACTCCTGAACCCGTTCCAAGAGCCACTAAACCCACTAAGCCTGCTTCTAGTGCATTAGACATTTCAGGCACAGTACTGGGTGAACGTAAGAACTTTTCTTTCTTTACAAAGCAAACCCCAACCCCTCGACACAGGAGAGGAATCGCTACAATCCTGTAGATCCTTTATTTAGGTCCCCCTCTTTCGGTCACAGTCTAATTTCCTCATTTCTGCGCCAACTCTCCCAAGGAGCGACATGTGCTGTAAACCCAGTTGCTGACACTTTAGGCAAGTGAAGGTGCGAGATGCTGACCGTGCTTCCTTCTCACAGGGCTCTTGGTTGTGTACAAAACCAGAACCCGGCCCTTTAACCCCAAGGCAGGGGGGTGGAAGGGGGAAGCGGGTGTCAGGGACATGGAAGGGCTGAGTATGCCTGGTTTCAGAAAATCTGTGCATACTAAACATGTAGATTCCTCCAAAGTGCTATCCCTTTGTATCAGAACGTGGTGCCCCTTGTCCTAGCAAGAGACAGCAAAATCGGGCTGACTTTGTTGCTTTCTTACCCTGAGGAAAAGCAGCAGCCTGTATTTAAATCAGGATTCAGAATATCCGTCTTGCATGCCATTCCTCAGCTCTTGGGAGGTATGCCATCAAATTCGAACGTTGCGTAAAAGTTTCCCAGGAAAACCAGCATTTCCAGGAAAGGCATTATGCCGGTGCACACCAGAAGCTTGGTCATGGTCGAGCCACGATGCCTATTAACTGCACTTTTCTTTATTACAGTTCTCAGCGAAAGGACCCCAGAAACGTCACAAGCGATTCTAAAACCTAGGTTTGACCTGCCACCAAGCACTCTAGGTAAATGTTATTCAACACTGCAGCTCGGGCAGTGCCTTGGGAATTCTTCGCATGCTGTAAAAAAGCTTCTCATTCATATTGATCTCCGCCCAGGAAAGAAGGGATGCGTGGCTTTTAGAATAAACTCTTCAACACTCTAGCTATTTAATGTTTTAGAATCTTTATTTTTAATTCAGGATTCTAAGAAGGCTCTCCTATATGACAATTCCTTTGTTCCTTTTTTTTTTGGCCGTATAGTACTGATACTGTGCTTGATTATTTTAAGTTGACGTCATTGTTCTACTTCATAAATTGGTATGTTCTGTATTTTCTCTAAATAATTTTACTCAATTGCGCCATAACAAGAAAGATAGACTGATGATATTTCTGCAGATTGCCTCTTAGAAATCCTAGAATTTCTCTGTGTGGAATATAAAGAAAGCGCAGGGGAGGAAGGATCATAAGCCACGTCCTTATAGAAATTCTATTTTTTAAATCTATTGTACGGATTTTTCTTGTCCAGATATGTTTTGCTGGGTTTGAATTTCAGCAAGATATATATGATACCATGAATACAGATAAGTGAAGAAATTAATTAATTAGCTTAATAAGACTCTACATCCTTCAAATTTAGCCACTATTGTATATTTGAAACCAAAAAAACAGGAAAAAGACACTTTCTGTCTTAACTAGCATTGAAATAGCAGTTAGGGTGCTGACAAAAGGCACCTCACTGGACAGAATAAAATTTGCCTTTTTGGTTTTGCAAGCTTGCGATTTAATGCCCATCACCCCCACCGCCCACCCCCGACCCCCGACCACTTATACCTCAGATCATAACTTTCTTGTATATTTCCTCCCAGCTCTAAACAGACTTCCAGAATATCCTTGGGCAAAAACATACTTTCCTTTTGAGAAACCTGGGGACAACTTGGGTCATGACAGCATCTTCCACCTGGGGTTTGGGTGGGATTGCCTAACTCCGTGGAGGGAGTTAACCAAACCAACCTAACTGCCCTCTAGTCAAGCGGACTCATAATAGAGACCCCCGAGGCTTCCCGGGACTGTTGATGGTTTACAGCTCCCATGGGGCTGCTGGTGGTCAGATTGCTGACCATGCGGCCAGCCGCCCAAGTCGGAATCACTAAACCACCGGGATTCCGTGGGAAGGGGTCACATCTTTCGGCAAATCCCAATGAATTGGAGATCAATTAACCCAGTCAAATTAGTGGTTGATTTGGTTGAAATAAAATCGACTGACTGTATTTTCTGTACACTCAGTAAGTATTATCAATCTTCATTCTTTGTATCCTCTGTGGTTGGTTTTCTGCCCTTCAAAATGTTGGAAGTGTAACAAGCTCCAGTCTCTGAAGCCACTAAGCGAATGTATGAGTGCATGTTGTTTTTGCTCAGTGAGTCATGCTTTTTCACTGGATCAGTATGTGCTCTTTACTGAAGGCCTCTAGTCGCCCCTTTAACCATACTTAAGCCCCTTTAAGCACACTTCTGGCTCTCGGATCTCTCAAAAAATCTTCAGCAAATTCCATTTACTTTTGCTGTAGCTTCAAGCAAAAAGCCGTGGATTTCTCCTACAACTAAAATGTCTGAAGATTCCAAAATTCTACAGCCTCAAACTGGTAATTGTATTCTTTACATAAAAAAAGATTGTAATAACAATATTGCCTTCTCTAATTGTTATAGGTTCCTTAACTGATTGTCAATATACTGTGTAGTAGATAGAAAAGCCTAATACATTCTTGACACGTAGGTGAATCTCACTTCTTCCCAATTCCAAAGCAAAATGAATTGTCATTCATCTTCTGGAGGTGCCTTTAATGACATAGAATAACAAAAATAGGTAGCAGTCACAAAAAATGGGTAACTGTCTCAGTTCTCTGGCGCTACTGTAACGGAAATAACCAGAGGGGATAGGAATGCATTCTCTTCTGTTTGGAGGCCAGTAGTGCAAATTCCGAGCCCCAGCCCAGGGAAATCTCTCTCCTGCCTCCAGGCCCTTGTCTACTTTCAGCACGGTTAGGCCGAGCAGCCCTGGGAGATGTGCATGTGTGCGGGAGCGATCTTGCCCTGGGTCTGGGAAGGGCTCATGCAGGGCTCCCAGTCCACTCCCAGAGCTCCTTCGGTTGGGCTTCGTAGCCTCCCCTGATTTCAGCTTGATTATCTTTTGTCAAATAAAAGGTGTAAAATGTAAAAGGCCATACCCCAGGGAAATTCCTCTTACAGGGACAGAGGCTGGGATGGGATTAAAATTCATATGCCCCACCCCTAATCCTGCTGCAACTGAATGGTTTACTACATATCAGACCCCTTTTGGCTTCCCTAGGGCCAGGAGGCGGGTCACACGTGCCTCCATGCTCTTTTCCTCTCAGGACACTCTATGTCTCTACTGGGTTTGATAGTTCCTTGCAGTGGCCACACAAAACTCACACGCAATACTCATAATTAAGGGAGGAGTTATTAG